TTATCACCATATGTTATTTAGTGTTAAGTGCACAGCGTTCAATAACACTGTCTTTGTATCCTGCCATTAGAAATACATACAATGTGGACTTTGTTTCGTTTGTCCTAAATGGGAGTTCTAACGTACACTGATGATAATAATATGAATGCATCTGAGTCCAAGTTTGAATCATTTGCTACATCAAATTGTAGGCGTAAGTAGAAGCACTGCTTTGGTATAACTGCAACATGAAAACAAGGCCACAGACATTTTGGATGGCCTTGGAAAGAATGTAGTTTGGATTCTGCGAGAAGCGTTAGCGCGCTCCTCACTGACGCCTCCTCAATGACAGCTCTAACTATGTGGGACGCAACGGTTTCCAAAGGGAATTCTTTTAATTTCACTGCCTCAGAGCCAAGGTCCACATACTCCGCTTTCGTACGCTTACGAGCCAAGGTCCACATACTCCGGTTTCGTACTCACAAAGTGCGTATGGAAACGTTCAACCTTTCATTTCAATATTACCTGGACCCACTGCGGACGACACGCTTCCTCATGCTTACGTGAAAAACGTATGACGTCTGGCATGTCAAACATTTTCCGTACGTGATGTGGCTTCACCGACACCGATTTGGTTGATTATCTTTTGTTTGCCCACTTTTACTTTTAAAATTAAATTAAAGCCACTTTACTTTGATCTCAGTATTCTCAGTCTCCAAACAGTGATTTTTTTAAATTATTTTTTTTTTTGGGGGGGGAGGGTTGTTTTGTTTCTTCGTTTGACATGTTGATTTAAGAATAGTCAATAAAGTTTACATCATTGCTAATTATTGAATTTGTTACTCGGAATTTCAATAGTCGTTTTGTTGTTTGTTTATTTATGCTCCCATTTTTCAAAGTACACGCTCTTTGGGAGGCAGAGAGTGGGTATGACGGATACGGTAGAGACCATTTACGTAGGTCATACACTACAATGACAACAGCGGAAAAAAAGGGGGGGGGGGGGGCTCTCGTGGCCGGAGGTTAAAGTGTTGGCCACACATTCAAAAGGCCCCGGGTTCGAATCCGGGTAGCGACCGAAAAATTTTCTTCTCTAAAGTTGTCTCCTTTCACCTCATTTCCTGCTCTCTTGCAATGTTCTGTCGTCTGCTTTCTTCTCCTCTTTCTGCCCCCACCCCCTCACCTCCTTTGCCCCTTCCTCTGGGCTCCTGATTCTTTCTGCAGCCTTTCTACTGCTTCTCCTTCGCTTCTTCTTACTGCTGTCTTTCAGCCACACCGCTGATCTTCGGGTAGGAAAGATCTACACCTAGCCTTCTCGGACAAGGGCGAAAAATCTCGGAGGGCCCGTGTGCAAGTTGCGCACGTTAAAGATCCCTTGGTTGTCTAAAATCGATAAGAGTAGGCTCCGGCCGCCACCCGGGCAAAATTCAAAATGTCCTACCAACTGAACACATTAGGTGTGTCCCGTGCGCTCATATGACCTTATGCAGTTGCGAGCGCCGTAAAACACTTTACAAAAACAAAAACAAATAAAAGAAGATAAAGAAGAAAAAAGAACAACAACAACAGAAGCAGCAAGCAGCAGCAGCAGCAGCAGCAGCAGCAGCAGCAGCAACAACAACAGCAGCAGCAGCAGCAGCAGCAGCATCTCACAGCAGTGTAACTGTCAGCCTTTCAATTGGTGGAATGGCCTTCCTCTGGTTCGTATTCTGCTTTTGAATATGTAGTCCACATAATTCCAAAAGGCTTTGGAAGCTTGCCTTCGTCATGCGAAAATATGCTAAGCATGTTTCGTTATCATCAAGAATTTGGTGCAACATTCTAAATTCTCCAGTTTTGCCTCGTTCTTTGCATGGGATGTACCCAGAATAGGCGGTGAACTTGCATATACTATACCTCCTCTTCAACCACCACCATAAAAATATTTCTTCTTCCTTGTTAACGCCATTTCTCTAGATCAAGGTCTGGTGCGCAAAAAAAAAAAAAAATTAAGAACGTGTGAGTGCTGACGCTGTGGACCCCGGCTCTCAGGCAGTGCGCTTACAAAATAACTTACATGAGCGTGAGCGAACGGCTTTCTCTATGTGGTCGCCCACACGAGCAAGAGCTGGGAGAAACCATAGAGTTACCTCCTTTTAAACTAGAGTCCGTACGAGGTTACGTGACACGGACACATTTGAGTTTGTTGGCGGCCATTTTTAATGTGGCTAAAAAGTTTGTTTACATGTGAGTGGGCGTGTCTCTGCTCTTAGTCTTACGTGTTTTATTTGATTCTAACGTTATGTTTTGATTCAAAGTGATTCTCTTAAAGGTACAAGCATGTGAAACCTCTTGTCCCTTTCTGGATTAACGTCTTACTGGTTCTATCAGGCAGTTCAGTGATGTGTTTTCTTTTATTACATCATCTATTTTTAGTGCATAATATGTCTTATACTTATAGACACAAATAGTCACTCCGGGTTTCTTTTTTAAAACATAAAGAGCCATCAGAAAGGTTCTGGGCCATGTGAAGCTAAGGTTGACTAGCAGCTAGATCTTTTTCACAATGGGCAGAAAATTTCTTTATCAAACTAAGTGAAACAGTGTACTTTTTATTGTTTTGTTTTATTGAATGTTGTCCAAAAACACTTAGTAAAGGTTTTTGTTTCAGTTATCACTACACTGAGTAGAAAAGCAATTGACTAGGCTACAAAACAACATTTAAGTTCACTTTTTTTTAATCTTTAGTGAGTCCAGAGCTGCCACAGTTGTTTTACTAAAGTCCAAAATTAGACTTACTTAAAACAGCAATAGAAGGAGCTTTAGTTTAAGTGGTGTATATTGTCTAATTTAGTTCTTAAAATCAATATAAACCAGTTTAATACCGACATAAGAAAACACTATTTATAATTTAGTATACTATTTTAAAAAGTGAACATATGAATGAAAAATACAGTTTCCTGTTCAAATGTCACAAGGGAAAGTTAACTCGATTTTAAAAATACCAGTACATGTATTCATCATTTGTTTGTCTGAATTTGCTTTACCAAGAGCTTCATTGCACTCCTACACCTAAAGGCTGAAAAACTCTGGAATTTTTTTTTCCTATGGCTCATCCTGATTTAATTTAATGCCAAACTCATATATCTGAGGGGGTGAGGGGGGCCGGGGGGTGGGGTGTTGGTATTGGGATTCGGGAGGAGAGAGAGGGTGGGGTGGTTAAGGGAGAGTCCCATGACACCCACATCTTTTCATACTTCTTTTTAGAAGTTCTATAGGCCCTATACGCTTTGATTCGGTCAATAAGAAATAAACCACCTCGTAGATAAAGTGCTGAAGAAGAAATAAAGGTTGTTGTTTTTTTTGTTTGTTTTTTTTAAGCCCATATCTCTATCTCTATCTATTTAGTAATACATTTATTTGTAGATCTAGTTGTAGAAAGAACGCCGTATTACTGCAATTTAGTAATTTAGATATAGTACGCAACGGCGCCCATGTAAAAAAAAAAATCAACAAAGACCAAGCCTCGCCTGTCGCGTATGAGAGAGAGAGAAAACATGCCTAGCCCATTGCTTTAGCATGAACTCCTTCACACAACTTGCCACAAAAACATGGCGGACGCCGCTGTCAAATGTGGCCATCGCGCAGCAAGGCGAGAGAGGGGCGTACTGTATCTAGTGACTTTAGTGTACATCTATGGGAGAAACACATGTATGCACAAGCTTGTTATTCTCGAACACGGAGTGAGGAAATTTTTCTGAGAACGGTTTACACGTAGATCTAACGCTCAGGAGAAAAACTTCCTTTGTTGTTGACGTTCGAGGGTTGACGAAGTGTTACAGACCCCAGAAGGAGAAACAATGTCCAGTAGAAAAAGACCAAGCCAATCATGGAGAATTGAAAACCATCTAATTTTGAAGAAGACACAAACTTACTATTTTTGTACCAATCCTACATCACCACATGCACTGTCAAATAACGAATACATTGCTATAAAAATCCACTAATATAATATATGAATAACTTATAATGCACAGGAAACTGTTATTATCAAGAGAGATAGCAGCCTTTCAGGCGCTCAACACAACTCATTACAAAAATGACTCTCTATCTGCCTGCCTACTTATCTATCTATCTATCTATCTATCTATCTATCTATCTATCTATCTATCCATCTATCTATCTATCTATCTATCTATCTATCTATCTATCTATCTATCTATAATAATAATACTCTAAGGTATTGAATAAGCGTCCACCCACGCTCCGTATTCCTTACCCCCCGTTTATTATTTTCCAGCTTGCCACGACCGACGATCATGTGAAACATGAAAAATCTAGATCTAGATTAGATATTTGAATGAAACTTCTTTTTTTTTCAATGGCAAATTACCCTCCGTGTTAGCACCGGTACCGGTTTGGCTACGTCAATTTTCTGTGCATTTTTTAAACTTTGTACATTGGTTTATATTTTTTAATGAAACTGGTTTGTTCCTAAATGGGAAAGGTTGTCACAGTAACTTACAAAATCACTAAAATTTCACGATCTCTTGTTCTTGTATTCACTGAAGGAGAAATAAAACAAATTTGTTCCTACTTTAATTAATTTTGGACCACACATCCCATTTATTCCAACACCCCCTTAGAGTAGATAGCAATCGTGTAGCGCAAATCCCCGCTCAACAGCAAGCTCTGTACGCTTCACAATCTATACTATTACCCCAGCAGACCTGAGAGCATTCTGTAACCAACTCAACTTCCTGGGAAGCATACAGTGCAAGCAGCCTTTTATAGGCGCTAAAACACTAGCATACTGACATATTCTTTCGCTGTCTATGGCTGGGTAACCATTTCCACCTGGGTGAAGTGAGGAAAATACGTGTAAAGTGCCTTTCCCAAGGACACAACATCGGGCCCGCTGCTCGAACCCCCGGCCCTGCAACCTCACGATAACGAGTCTGGTTGCCTAACCACTAGGCCACCGACGCCACCATCTATCTATCTATTTATCTATCTGCCTATATATCTATCTATTCACTTACTGATACATCCCACGACTGCTGCCAACACAAGGAGACTGAGGATCGATGACATTTTTGCCCTTCCAAGAGTAAAACCTCAGTTCAAAACTTCACGAGTCTGTAAAATATATACAATTTCAATGTGGTGCACTGTTCTCGACTGAGATGTTCGGGACAGAGTGAACGTCTCGTGTAGAAGGGAAGAGATATTACCCTGTGGATTTTGTTATTATATAACGAAGACCATGTTTATTCTGTACTTGAAATGAAACTGAAACTGAAAATAGAACTGAAACTGTCCACAAAGTTTTATCTAAAATGATCTACCTGATCCTACAATAGCCCAGCATTAACCCTTTGATTCGTGGGGCCTTGACCCTATAGCTGAGGGAAGAAGTGGAGTGGTTGTTTTTTTTTTGGTTTTTAGCAGAGGTTTTACGGGGCTGGCAACTGCTTAAGGTCATATGGCTTACTCTGCTCACCTCTCTAGCTTCAACAGCACAAAGTCTGGTTCGACTTTCAAGGCACCCCGGAAATAGCGGGTCACAAGAGTGTGACAAACATACAAAAGAAGTAGAAAAAAAATGACGATAGTAAGGATTAGGAAACAAAAAGCAGCGGTTCCCTGTTGTAGGTCAGGCATGACATTGTTGAATCAGCCCATTTTCAATTCTACTGAGCAGAAGAACAAGAAATGTCTGCCCTTTGGGAATGGCCTAAGGACACTTCAGTCAGTGGCACCGCCCGGGGTGAGGGGGGGGGGGGGTGAAGGGTTGATTTAGACAGATGGACATCATGAAAAGTGTTATAATAATAGATTTTTAAAATTGCAAGGGGGGGGTGGAAAGTGAGGGTTTATAATTATTACAAGGCAGGAGGGGAAAATTGTGGTTTGTGTTGCAAGGGGGGAAGTGGAATGTGGTGGTTTGTATTACATTGGGGGGGGGTATTGCAAGGGTGGGGGGATTGGAAAGTGGTGGTTAGCACAGGTTATTGTTCGGACATTCAGCCGTTAGAGCAGTTTCAACTGCGTCTTCATTTAGACACCTTGTAGGGAGTACTTTTAGCTCAGTCGGTGAAACGCCAAACTTCAGTGCAGAAGATTCTAGTTCGAATCCACAAAGCTACGATGTCTGTACTTTTAAGTTGCTTTGGGAGTTTTCAAGACTCCATCCACATAGCGTAGTTCTATAGACGATTAACGTTTAAGGGTGCTGGTCCACTTGATGATCCCCTTCAATAAAGCGGTCTACTGTAAGTCCCCACAGACCGACCACGGTCAGGGGGGATGGGGGTGGCCTAGAGGTTAAGGGACCACGCGCTCATATGAAAATGGGCTGTTTGCCTCTCATTCAATAGGTCCCGGGTTCGAATCCGGATAGCGACGGAATATTTTATTCTCTATAATGTTCTCCTTTCACGTCTTTTCCTGCTCTCTAACAATGTTCTGTCGTCTGCCTTCGTCTCCACTTTCTGCCCCCACTCCCTCACCACCTTTGCCCCCTCCTTTGAACTCCTGGTTCTTTCTGCAGCCTTTATAGTGGGCTCCTTCTTAAAGTGTGTTTTCAGCCACACCCTTGATCTTATGGTAGGAAAGATCTAGACCTAGCCCTCTCGGAAAAGGGAGAAAAATCTAGGAGGTCCCATGTGCAAGTTGCGCACGTTATAGATCCCTAGGTAGTCCAAAAATCGATAAGAGTAGGCTTCGGCCGCCACCCAGGGAAAATTCCAAATTTCCTACCAAGTGAAAATGTTTAGTGTGTCCGACGCGCTCATATGACCTTATGCAGTTGCGAGCGCCGTAAAACACCATCCACAAAAATGACCACGGTCTACCTGACAGTGACAGTCTACTGCAATGATGCATTCAATGGCAAGGCCTACCCAGGATAACTTTATAAGTCTCCCATACCCTGATGCACTACAGTACTTTTTTATGAAATAAGGGAGCCAGGGTCCCCTTCCCTATCACTCTTCCGCGACAAAGCACAAACACCAAAACATTGTTCATACCGCCAACGACAGTCTCAGAGGAAAGTTCTGTATTTAATATTATGGATTGTAGTAGGCTGGTAGACCATTAATTGGAACAGTTGGTGAACTGGTCTTATGGTAGACCGTTAACTAGAACAGGAACATCGAGGCAGACCGTTAGAGAATCCGCATCCGTTAAACTCTTAGGTCCTGCCGAATTCGAGCTTATAACTCATAGTGTTAAAAGAGATTTCAAATCCGCACATTTCCAGAACACTTCAGGCTCAGATAGAGATGGGTTTCTTTTTTGTTTTGTTTCTTTTGTAGTTGATGTTTTGTTTTTGTTTTTGTTTTTGTTTTTTATTTTGTTTGTTTTTTGTGTTCTTTTGTGTGTGTTGTTGGGGTTTTTTTGGGGGGGTAAGTGTTTTACTACCTAAGGTCATATGAATGCACGGGACACATTAAACATTAAACTTTTTAATTTGTAGAAAATTAGTTTTAGTAGAGGTTTTACGGTGCTCGCGACTGCTGGTAGGAAATTGGGAATTTTCCCCGGGTGACGACCGAAGCCTACTCTTTTCGATCTTGGACTACCAAGGGACCTTTATCGTGTACCACTTGCACACAGGACCTCAGAGATTGTTTATTGCCCTTGTCTGAGAAGGCTAGGTGTAGATCATTCCTACCATAAGATCATGGGTGTGGCTGAAAGACAGCAGTAAGAGGGAGCCAAGGAGTAGCAGTAGAAAGGCTGCAGAAAGAGTCAGGAGCCCAGAGGAAGGGCAAAGGAGGTGAGGGAGCGGGGGTAGAAAGGGGAGTCGAAAGCAGACGATAGAAACAGATCTCTGATAGAACATTGTTAGAGAGCAGCAAAGGATATGAAAGGAAAAAAATAACCAAAGGAGAAATGTTCTTTTCCCTTCGCTATCCGGATTCGACCCCCGGGCCTATTGAATGAGAGGCAAACACCTTAGCCTCTAGGCCACATGAGCCCCCGGGTAGGTAGAGGCGTGCGCTTGCTGTGCGGAAGGGTTAAGAGTTAATACAAGAAAAAGTGAGCTGGCCGTCTAGTCAGATGGGCGGATCTAATAACCCACACAAGGACCTTAGAATGATATTTGTCACAGCGCAGAGGAATCGGGCACTCGTCAATTTTTCTGCGTGTAGTGTTATTAGTTTTGCCTTAAATCATGTTCATTTGTCTTGCTTTTGGTGAAAAAATACCCACCTATCTTGAATAGAAGTCGAGATATTTGCTTCTGAAGGATGTCGGAGTCGCCTGATTTCAGAGGTAAACTTAACGAGAAAATGGCCGCCAAAGTTTGGTGACTTCCACAGCTTGAAGGTCCTTAAAAACTGAAAATTTACACTCTTTGTGCCTTTGTTTAACGCTTTTCAGTAAAATAAACCAGAAAAGTGTTTTCAAATTGAAATGAACGGTGCTGGGCCAAAATTACCATACCGACGGGAAAGTGTTGGGTTCTTCGATTGCATTATTTTGAAGAGCGCCTGACTTCACCACAATGCCTCATAATTATTATTTATACCCTCCTTGTACACAGTGCACACTGCCAATATGATCCATTTGTTTCTGTCGGGGTCAGCAAGATTTTTTTTCTTCATGGACGGGCAAAAGCTACCATTTCAGCACAATACGACCGAATTCTAATAAATTCTGCCGCGACTTTCAAAATCAAAAGCGTTTTTTTTTTCAAGGTTACTTCAAATGGAGCCAGTCATAATGTGCCTAAATATTAGTTTTTGCTCTTCCAAGAAGAAAAGCCTGCTCGCTCGCTCTGACTGAGTCAGGGAGGTGGACTGAATCCAATGGATCAGACTGGCACCTCACAGTGGGTATTAACTTGGACGATGTTGAAATCATGCCAAGATACTCGGCAGGTCAAGAGTACAGGTACTGATGAAGAGCTATCAACCATGTCAATTTACGACTTTTATCTTATATAAGATGTTCACCAATATCTTTGGTGTATCGGTTAAGCTCTTTGCAGTTGCTTGCGGAAGATAGAAGATAATAGGAGTATGTTACGTTGAATATACACGAGTAGAGTTCAATAAGTCCGGTGTGAACTTGAGAGTGCTTTGTAAACATAGCTCTTGAATACCAAAAGAAAACGCCATTTTCATTGTTATCATGTCTTTATTTGCAAGGAAAATCTCCGGTGGAATTTTTTAGGAGATGTTGTTTCAGTGTTAATATTGGTGAATGTCCAATATTTTTATATGCTAAATACTGAACAAGGAAGTTCAAATCAGGCTTTATTCACCATCCTTCCTTTTCGACAAAGAAGGCAAATTGTAAACTTCAGGTGGAAAGGTTATGCTGTCCTGTTTTTGAGACACTGATTTTGTCATCACTTCAAACTGATTAGAAAATAGCAATACTGTAAGGTGAACGTATTGAATTCATTTGTGTATGAAGATGTCTGTGTGTTTGTGTTTGTGTGTGTGTGTGTGTTTGTGTACGTATGATAAATAAATAGATAGAGAAATGTTGTTTTCAAATCCCTTTAGCTGGATAGATTTTCTTAGCTTTTCCAGTAAGGTAGTTAAACGGTGCTTCTCGGGCCTACCTGCAATGTAGTACTCTCTCTCTCTCTCTCTCTCTCT